CATATTGCATTGTGGGTAAAAGCTGTGACTGTGTGTCTGGAATGTCCCCATATCTGTCTGTCATTTCAGTCTCCCATTTGGTCCCCTAGGGGAGTGTCCACCAAGTGGGAGACCTGCATAAATACGGGCAGGTAGCCCACAGTAAAGCCAGAGCCTGTTTTGACCCTCAATGCGGAGCTTCTGTCTCGTTATTGGGGGGATTCCTTCTTTACGTTTAGAGACTGCTGGATGGAACTGAAAGCCGCTTGGTGGATGTTATTGTTCGGCGGCTAGCAGCAGTTCATGGATTGCCGTTCGGGAGTTTGGAGCCGTTCACGGATCCCGGTCGGGAGATTGCCGCTTCCCCTGAGCTTGGTTTGTGCACTACAGTTTATGCGAACGGAGATTGGTATTGCAGAAGGGGAAAGTCGACTAAACGGCAGTTTCGTTTAAAGACACCAGGGGTGTCTTAACACACCCCTCATCCTGTCACACTCCCTCCTCCAACCATGTCACACTCACCCTGTCACTATAAGCCCCACATTCACCCCAATCCTGTCACACTCAACTTCTCTTATTCTGTTACACTCCACCCCAACCCTGTCTCTTTCACGCCCCTCGCCCTGTCACACTTACTCTGCCACAGTTGCCCCTTTATTCCCCTGTCACATTCACACCCTGAAGACAGTAATCATACACACACAGTCATGAAATACAGCTTTTCCATAAACACAATGCACAAAGATCACAATCAGCCCCCAATACATACGAGCTCCACTCGCACATATGGTCCCAGACACACACATGCTCACAGAGAGACACATTCACTCACAAGGAAACTTGCTGTCAGGCAGACACTCTCAGACACATACACAGGTAGATAGGGCCAGACACATTTAGAAATAAACACACAGCCAAATGCACTTAGTGAATGTATGTTTGTGTGTGTGTGTTTCTTGTTACTCAGACCTTGTGACTGATGGACACCTGCAATTTTCCTGAAAGGTGAATATTTCTGTCTGTTACATGACGACGTACGTGCTTGTAACTTCCTAGGACATCTGAAGATCACTACATTGGTAAGTTGTATTAAAATCACATTATTTGAGTAAGTTCATTTGTGTAATATTTGTTTACACTGCACTATTTGCACATTTTTTGTATACATTTGCTTATTGTTTTCTTAGTGTTTTTTGTTTGATTTGATATTTATCATTTATTTGCACTTATTGTGAAATTTATACCGTTTTAAAAGTTTTAATTTTTACCTTGTCTGGTTAGCCATTGGTTCTCAGGTCTGGTTCAACATGATTTGAGTATTTATTTGTTATTGATAATATTATTTAATATATTATTGCATTTGTCTATTTATATGTAATTCAATTTGCACAGTTTTGAAAGTTTACATTTATACATTGTAGCAGGCCCTGGGTAACGTGGTTGGTTACCTCCGCTATTAATAAAGGACCAGACCCATTTCCCCGCCAGTAACTGGACGACACACAATTTCCGGGATACAACAACAGCTTTATTGGCCACACTTGGCTTTATACTCTCCCCATAACACAGGTAACATTCAATGTCCCCTCCCAGGGTCCTCCACCTCCCAGGGACATGTATTGGAACCGGAATCCTAGTCCCTTTGTCCTTGTTCCCGTCATCAACCCCCAGAACGGTAACTGGCACGAACAACCACCATTTGCAGGGTCCCTGGGTGAAACCAGGCAAGAGAAGCGTTTCCTTTTGCACTTCGCCTGGCGTTCGTCTATATGAACGGTGGCCACCCAGGGAAGTACTCATTAATCACTTCCCTTGCAGCTTCACACTTATGTTGCAAGGGGTACTGGGGAGGTCCTCGTTCACGAATGCTCTCCCTGGATGGCGTTAGTCGAACGAACGGGCCGCCACCCAGGGTTGGCACACACCAAGGCTTCCCTTGCGGTTTGTGGTTTTCACACCTCGTTAATGAGAAGTTCCCGAATCCATCAGGAACATAGGCAAATACACTTAATATTTTTTATGGTTTAGCGGTGATCATACATCTTGCCACTAAATCTTTTTCTGTACCCTTTTTCTACCTTTTAAAAACAATTTATGTGCAAAATCCCAGTGGGTTTACAAATAGAATTGAGCGGACACCTGGATGTTCGGCCGAACTTCGTAAAAAAGTTCGAGTTCAGGCTCGAATTTGACCTGAACTTGACCCCGAACCTGAACCCATTGAAGTCAATGGGGACCCGAACTTTTGGGAACTAAAATGCCTCTAAAAAAGTCCTGGAAAAGGCTAGAGGGCTGCAAAAGGAAGTAAAATGGGGGTAAGAGTAGGACAAGTGCCCTGTAAACAAATGTGGATAGGGAAATCACTTAAAATAACATAAAATACATAAAATTACAAATACAGCTGAGCCATAAAATAGCACTAGATGGAATCTTTGATTTTAGCTTTGGAAGAACATAAATCAAATAAATGGCTGTCAGGAGGATCACCAGAATTATCCATTTGAGAGAGGGTTGGAGTGCAGGGTATTCTCTTTCATTGTTCAAACTGAGCTCAACTCCTGATGCATGGAAAAAAGGCCTTCACAAGCCTCTGCTATTGTGTACATAGTTTATAATAAGTGACCCAAAGGTTGAGGAGGCGGTGACCGTGGCGGTGTAGGTGGAAGCGGCGGTGGAGGAGGAGGTGTTTTTTAATTGGGGTAGCCCCAAAAATATTGGGAGATATAATAAAAGAAAACAAAGAATAAGTGCTTGAGTATAATAATGGCTGGGTGAGGCCAGTATAAATGTCTATTCTGCACAAGGTACAGACAAGTCTGGTGGGATCCATGCCTGGTTCATTTTAATAAACGTGAGCTTGTCCGCATTGGCTGTGGACAGGAGGCTGCGCTTGTCTGTGATAACGCCCCCTGCAATGCTAAACACAAGTTCAGACAATACACTGGCTGCAGGCCAGGCCAGCACCTCCAAGGTATAAAGGGCAAGCTCAGGCCATGTGACCAATCTGGAGACACAGAAGTTGAATGGGGCAGACACATCAGTCAGTATGTGTAGGCATGTGCACACGTACTGTTCCACCATGTTGCTGAAATGCTGCCTCCTGCTAAGACGGTCCATATCAGATTGTGGTGCTGGTTGTTGTGGCGTGCTGACAAAGCTTTTCCACATTTTGGCCATGTTAACCCTGAGGTGCTGGCGGTTCCCCAGCTGCGTTGGCGACCTCTTCCTTCTCCTCTGCCTTCGCCTTGTGCTTCCTTTGAGCCCTCGGTGTCAGTTGGGAATGCCCTCAGCAGCGCGTCTACCAGCGTGCGCTTGTATTCATGCATCTTCCGATCATGCTCCAGTGAGGGAATTAAGGACGGCACGTTGTCCTTGTAATGGGGATCCAGCAGGGTGGCCACCCAGTAATCAGCACAAGTTAGAATGTTGGCAACTCGGCAGTTGGTGCACAGGCACTGCAGCATGTAGTCGCTCATGTGTGCCAGGCTGCCCAGAGGCAAGGACAAGCTGTCCTCTGTGGGAGGTGTATCATCTGTGTCCTCCGTACCCCCCCAGCCACGCTCCAGTGATGCCCATGAGCTGCATTGGGTTCGACCTCCTCCTCTTCATCATCATCCTCCTCCTCATCCTCCAGAACTGTGCCCTGGCTGGACAACTGTGTACCTGACCTATGCTGGTACAGGAACCCACCCTCCAAGTCACTTGTGAATGACTGGCCTGATAACCGTGGAAATGACCCCTCTTCCTCTTTCGCCACATCCTCTTCCATCATCGCCCAAAGCGTTTTTTCAAGGAGACATAGAAGCGGGATAGTAAGGCTGAGAACGGCGTCAGCGGCACTGGCCATGTTGGTGGAGTACTCGAAACAGTGCAACATGCCACACAGGTCTCGTATGGAAGCCCACTCATTGGTGGTGAAGTGGTGCTGTTCTGCAGAGCGACTGACCCATGCGTGCTGCAGCTGAAACTCCACTATCACCTGCTGCTGCTCGCACAGTCTCTCCAGCATGTTCAAGGTGGAGTTCCACCTTGTTGGCACGTCGCATATGAGGCAGTGAGCGGAAAGGCCGAAGTTACGCTGCAGCGCAGAGAGTACTATTTTTATCAGTTTAATACCTTCCGCGTCTCCTATCAGTGGACGTGTACACGGCATAGATTTTTATCTAAGCCGTAAACTTTTGCATAGCGAAGTAGATTCACTGCCATTGAAAAGGAGTGCATGGCGGTGGTGTGGGCCCTCAAAAAGCTACAACCTACTTGTATGGACAACCGTTTACCTTACTCACAGATCACAACAAATTTGGGGCACTGCGCGTGCAATCTAATGTGCCACCAGATAGGAGTGGTGTGTTTAGTACTATTGTTATCAGTTTAATCACTGTTACGCCCCCTATCCGTTGATGTGGAGCAAGACGCAGCAGCAGAAGAGGACTAAGCCGAGGAGGTTATGGAAGAGGATGGAGTGGGAGGAGTAGAGGAGGTGGCAGCGTACTGGCAGAGTACACGCTGTAGGGCTGACACACCTGCTTGAAGATAACTAACTGCTATTCAATCTATAACCGTGAAAAAAGTGTTGTTTTTTTTTAAATCCAAGCTATTGTGACACCAGTGAGTGAGTGGTAGCACTGGGCACAGTATCCACTGTGAGCCTGACACACCCGCTTTGAGACAACTAACTGCTATTCAATCTATAATTGATGTTTGTTTCACAGGCAGAAAGTGCCCTAAAACATGGCGACTTGAACCCTAGTTGGTGGCGGATAAGTCACGCAAGTCAACCGGCATTCAGAGCTAAAATACAGCAGCGTGTGGACCATTTTTAGCCCAAGGCAGCTCATCTCATCTCATCAGGCCTTTTTTTAATCGAATGTATCGCCCAGTGTCAGTCCCTTCGGGATCCATCCC